TCATTTGATCATATCTATTCTATCTACTATCTTATCTATCTATCTATCTATATATCTATATATATATATATATATATATATATTAAATAAAATAATAAATATGCATTTGAATTTTAATAAAAAAAGTTAAAATTCTTTCAGTGTCATGTTCATTTTTTTTTTTTATTTAAATCTTTTTAATGATTTATTAAATATATTATATATATATATATATATATATCAAATTAAAAACACCATTTGTGTTTGATTGTGTTTTGTCGACGTTCTCTAACCACCGAAGCACGTTATTTGATTTTTTGAGTTCGGTTCTCCTTGATGTTATAAATGGAATGGCCTCTTGCCACATCTAAGATACAATAAAACAAAATCAAACAAACATGTTTGATTGGCAAAATGCGGCAGCAACATAAAGGAAAGTCGGTACAAATACTTCAGTTCTTATGAGGAGGACAAAATGAAAACAAAGGAAAATTTGCTAAAGGGTTTTGTTATTGTTTAGCCTTGTTTGGTGCTTAGACAATTTTAAGGTTTAAATTCAGAAGTTATGCAAAAAATAAAATAATAAATCTTTGTAACCGTTTCACGATACATAATTACAAGTTTTTTACCCACCATCAAAAAACACTGGACAGTTTTGTATTTTTCTCTACCACCGTTCAACCGGTGGCTAACATTGATTTTTTTCTCTACCACCGTTCAACCGGGTTAAGAACATTGTCATTTTAAACCACCGTTCAACCGATGGCTGGACATTGAGTCATTTTTTCTCTACCACCGTTCAACCGGGGGCTAGACCTTAAGTTAATTTTTCTCTACCACCGTTCAACCGGTGGCTAGACATTAAGTCATTTTATCTCTACCACCGTTCAACCGATGGCCGGACATTAAGTCATTTTTTCTCTACCACCGGCAAAAAATGTGGGTATTTACTCAAAGTGTTTATAGTCCCAGGATATAAAACTGCTTATTAAATTGAAAGGCATCCTCTGGTACCGTGAAACATCTAAAATGTAACAATAAAATGAATATTTTTTTTTTTCATATGTCAACCACCTATGTATGTTTTGGATGGGTGATATATGACAATTTTCGGTTATGAATTACGTATAATTCCCCGGAAAAAAAAAAAATTCCGTTCAACCGGTGGCTGGACATTAAGTCAATTTTTCCACTATTGTCATAAAATGGCTGGGCATTAAGTCATTTTCTCTACCACCGTTTTTAAGTGGCTGGGCATTGTCATTTTTCTCTACCACCGGTAAAACCGGATATCGGTTTTGAAAGCGTCGGATAGGAAAGCTATTTTCTCTGGTCGCTTATTGAAGACACTGTGGCCCCTTGCTCGGGTGAAGTTGAAATGTCATTATTTAATAAAAAATTGAGGATTGGTATATTTTCTCTTTTCCCAATACGTCATATATATATATATGTTTATAATTATGGAGACAAAAAAATGATATTAATGTAAACCCAGGATATTAGAGAGAGATTTTAAAAAGAAAAGATTCATAAAGAAACATATATCCGAGAAAGGCTAGTCCCAAATTAGAAAATACTGAACGAAAAATATCCAATTGAATAAAATTTTAAATGAAAGAAAACATAGAAGAAATTGTCAATGATACAGTGTAACCCGGATATAAGAAAACCGGATATAAGAGATTTTCTCTGGTCCCAAATTATGAGCCCATACTTACCCAAACAAAATAGACCAAACTCGGATATAAGAGAAACCCGGATATAAGAGATTTTCTCTGGTCCCAAATTAGAGATCCATTTTTACCTAAACAAAATAGACCAAACTCGGATATAAGAGAAACCCGGATATAAGAGATTTTCTCTGGTCCCAAATTAGAGCCCATACTTACCTAAATAAAATAGACCAAACCCGGATATAAAAGGAAACCCGGATATAAGAGATTTTCTCTGGTCCCAAATTAGAGCCATACTTACCTAAACAAAATAGACCAAACCCGGATATAAAGAAACCCGGATATAAGAGATTTTCTCTGATCCCAAATTAGAGCCATACTTACCTAAACAAAAATAGACCAAACTCGGATATAAAAAACCCGGATATAAGATTTTTCTCTGGTCCCAAATTAGTTTATATTAATGATATATTAAATAGACCAAACGGATATAAAGGGAACCCCGGATATAAGAGATTTTCTCTGGTCCCCAAATTAGAGCCTAAACTTACCTAAACAAGATAAACCAAACCCGGATATAAAAAACCCGGATAAAAGAGACTTCTTCTCCGGTCCCGACAATATCTCTTATCCGGGTTATATAAAATATTTTGTGTGTGCGTATCGATAACGATTAAAAAATCTTAGACAATAAATTATATTAACCATTGAATCTATTTTTCTGCGTCTTTGTTTTTAAATCCATTTCATCGGAAACTAAAAATATCGTAACTCTTCTATTAGTCCTAGTTGTCGGTGATGGGGGCGGTTATGAATGTTATCTCTATCAGTATTTTTTTTTCCTGGCACTCGATAAAGACTGGGGAACCATAAATATCTCAAATCCTTTGGTTCGTTTAACCGATGTCCGCCTATTCCACGCTCCACCCCTCCCCAAAGAGGATTAATGGTTCGCATCATATTTGCATAATTTGCTATCGGATCCGAATTAAAATTACATTTATTGACAGATCAAGTCCTCGCCGTGAACATGACCCTCCGTTGGCGAACACGACTCGTCGAAAGCGAATCATCCGATCTGAAACACTAGGAGCAATGGATAACGATCTAATTCCTGTAAGGCGCTTAAATGGCCTTGCGTGTCCAGCGCTCCCTTTGCCCTGTGCCAGACTTGGAAATCATGACTACTGCTGTGAGGCTTATCCTCACTGGTTGGGCTCAGCAGGGATAATGGCTCTTCCTCAATTTCTTCTTATATTCGTCGTTGTCCCTTCATAAACGTTGGCGGTTATAGCCCTCCACAATTTCCTGTCCTTTATAGCACTTAGTAAGTTTTCTTTTTTTGCTATCTCTCTGCATCCTCTACCATCAATTTACACGAGATCATTTTTTCTTCTTCTATGTGTTGTGTACCGTCAGTACATTGGCGGTTATAGCCCTCCACAATTTCCTGTCCTTTATAGCTATCAATATTTTCCCCTATCTCTCCTAACTCCTGTTTTGCCAACCATTTACACAAGTTCATTCTTTTTTCGTGAGCCGTGTGTGTCCCTATTGGTAGGAGTCGATCATGACTCTCCACATCTTCCTATCCTTTTTAGCTCTTAGTAGTTTATCTTTTTAGTGCCTTTCCTGATCCCTGTCCTACCAACCATTTTCACGTTCGTTCTTTTTTTTAATATCCGTTTCTCTACTGGTCATAAGCGATCATGACTCTCCACATCTTCCTATCCTTTATAACTCTTAGTAGTTTATCTTTTTGGTATCTTTAATCAACTCCCTGTTCTGCTAACAATTTTCACAAATTCATTCTTTTATTTATATCTGTGTGTCTACCGGTCATGAGAGATCACGACTCTCCACATTTTTCTATCCTTTGTAACTCTTAGTAGTTTATCTTTTTTGCTATCTCTCCTAATCCCTGTTCAGCCATCTATTTACACAAGCTCGTTTTTTTCTTTCTTCTATGTCAAGTCAGTACGTTGGCGATCAAAGCTCTCCACAATTTCCAGTCATTTGGAGCTATTTATATTTTTTGCTATCAATCCTATCCCCTTTTCTGACAAACATTTACACAAGCTAGGTAGGTTATGAGCTGTTTTTCCCTGTCCATCCGGCCTTCGATGTGTCCTTGTGAGTGTCAAATTTTCCAGTGCCTCTTTCCTCATTATGTACTCTAAAAATTTCAACTGTCCGTTGATGATGTAAGCATAAGTGTCCTTTTGGTTTACATTCACTCTTTGTTACATGTTCAGTCTATGATATTCCTAGCATCCTTTTTGTAAAACCACATTTCTATTGCGTCAATCTGTGTCACATGTGAAGAGATTGTTCAGCGTTAATAGCTTTAAAGGAGAACTGATATTACGTCAGTACTCATTTCTTTGTATCTGTTGCTTCAAAGATCTTCTTCATCCGTGAGGAGATTATCCAGTATTTACTGCCATATAGAAGGACTGATATTACATAACACTACACTTTTCTTTGTTTCTGTTGCTTTAAGTCTCTTCTTCATCCGTAGGGAGATTATCCAGCCTTCACTGCCATATAGGAGGACTGATATTACGTAACAGTTCAGTACTCTTTTCATTGTTTCTGTTGTTTCAAGTCTCTTCTTCATCTGTGAGGAGATTATCCAGCCTTCACTGCCATATAGGAGCACTGATATTACATATCAGTTCAGTACTCTTTTCATTGTTTCTGTTGTTTCAAGTCTCTTCTTCATCTGTGAGGAGATTGTCCAGTATTCGCTGCCATATAGGAGGACTGATATTACGTAATAATTCTTTACTCACTTGTTTGACGAACTATTTCCGTTTCTTAATACTTTTCTTAGCTTTTGGAAGACATCCTTCGCAAATCCCAACGCGTCTTTGGATTTCATTGTTGCAGTATCCGTCCTCTGTTAAAACACTTCACATATATTTCAAATTTGGTTTTGCAATCTGCAATCTGTATCTGTGATCTGGGAAAAATCAGTTACCTAGACATTAGGTTTATAAGTCTCCGAGATTCATACACAGATGTCATCAAGGACACATGGCCCTGTGGATTATAATCGTTGGTTGGATCCAATGACTTGACCCAAAGATTTGAGAGTTCAAAACCTGGTGGAGGTGAATAAAAACTTAGAAAGGGCGATAACTGAGACATCGGGAAGAGGCATGGCCTTGGGGACAAAATAAGTGGTTCTGTTCGACATTCCAATCAACAGATGAAGGCCGCAGCGGACAACGGCCGAAACGTCGTGAATATGACAACAAAGAAGAGGATAACAGAACGAACAAATATTGTTAATAGTGTAAACTCCAATTTATAATTTCTATGTTGGGCTACTGAGTAGTGAGTTCAGTCTGAGTGAGTTTGAAGAAGAAGAAGAAGAAGAAGAAGAAGATGAGGAAGAAGAGAAAGAGGAAGATGAGGAAGAGAAAGAAGAAGAAGATGGGGAAGAAGAAGAAGATGAGGAAGAAGAGGAAGAAGATGAGGAAGAAGAGAGAGAAGAAGAGGAAGAAGAGAGAGAAAAAGAGGTAGAAGATGAGGAAGAAGATGAGGAAGAAGAGGAGGATGCAGAAGAAGGAAGAAAATTAGGATGTAAAGGAAGAAGAAGAAGAAGAAGAAGAAGAAGAAGCGGATATAAGGAGGAAAAAAAAGAAGAGGATTATAACCAAAAGAAGAAGAAGAAGAAAAAAGAAGAGGAGGAGGAAAAAGAAGAAAGAAAGGAGGAGGAGGAGGACATACAAGAAGAAGAAGAAGAAGAATAAAATCCCAATAGATAGGAGGAGGAGGGGGAGCAGGAAGGAAAAATAAAGAAAGGTTATAAGAAGAAGAAGAAAAAAAAAGAAATGAATTCCGGAGGTTAAAGGAAGAAAAAGAAGGAGGAGGAAAAGAAGAAGAAGGAAGAAGGACAAGGAGGAGGGAAAAGAAGGAGGAGGAGAAGGAGGGAAAAAAGAAGAAGAAAAACAAGAAAAAGAAGAGGAGGAGGAGGGGGAGCAGGAAGGACAAGAGAAAGAAGAGGAGGAGAAAGAAGAAGAAGAAGAAGAAGAAGAAGGTGTTATAGAAGGCACTGGGCCGCTGTTTAACAAAGTCTATCGGACAAACACGTGAATCGTGCTAAAAAGTGGACCTATATTATTTGTAGAGGCGGCGGAATCTGACCTCTGACTGACAGGTGCACGGCGTTCTGCAGGTGCATAAACGCGATGTGCTCAGGCACGTAATCAACGTGTGGGAGCTCCGGCTTCTCATTTAGGATCGCAAATCAAAATTAAAAACAAAAGATTAAAAAAAACACATCTAATCTCATGCATCGCAAAGAATTCTCTGATTTTCGATAGGTCGTAAAAAATAAAAATAAAATGGAAGCAAAATAAATAATCAATTGAAAGCAAGGGCCGTAACAGAGGAGGGGGTGGGGATCAAAGCTTTTTTTTGATGGAATGGAGACGCCGGGTAAAGAAGAGGCGAAAAGGTCGGAGGTAACATGGGGTTCTCGGCTAACCTAATTTGGCAAACACACCATCTGATGAAAATCTTCGATAAGATTAAACAAAATTAACAAATCTCACCTTACAGACGAAGAAAATTTACTTTTAAACTATGCAAAAGGATCTCCATTAAATAAATAAAAATATATATATATATATATATATATATATATATATATATATATATATATATAAAATCCGAGATATATATATATATATATATATATATATATATAAATAATACAAAATATATATATATAAATAAATAATAATATATATATATTAATACGATATATATATATATAAATAAATAATATGATATATATATATATATATATATATATATATATATATATATATATATATATTTATAAAAATAATAAATATATAAATAATACGATATATATATATATATAAATAAATAAATAATACGATATATATATATGTATTATTTATATATATAATATATATATATATAAATAATACAAAATATATATATAAATAAAAAATAATACGATATATATATATAAAAATAAATAAATAAATAAAAAACAAAACAAAACAACAACAAAATGAATGAATGAATGAATGAATGAATGCATGCATGCACGCATGCACGCATGCACGGTGGAGTAATGGATTGAGACTTAGATTGAGGAATCGGAGAGCCGAGTTCGAATTCCAGTCGAATCCATTACATTCACTTACGTGCTAATACCCTTGGGAAAGGTATGAATCCTCTTCTGCTCCCTTCAGCTATGGGTAAATAGCAGGACAGACTGGGTTCTATAGCCTTGGATGGCATCTGGTCTAGGAGAAGGACAACTCTGAATTCAAATCCTGCGAAGGTCCGTTTGGGAACCCCGTGGCACGTAGTACCAGTCGCTTCGGCCCTTCAAAAAGTGTGGATGGTTCTGCACAAAACCTTCATGGTGCTGGCGTCGGGCTTTCAGTTTCCTAGGAACTGATCAGCTTGACTCTCGAATTCGACGGGGAGAGTCGAGTGTATCTGATGATACGTTGCTCTTAGTAGAACGAGAAATAAGCAAAGTTACAGATTGAATCTACAGACTGACTGTTATGGACTAATCAAACTTTCCAAAGTTTACACAAAATTATTGTCCTTTGGAAACTTTTGCAGTAAACAGATGTGAATCCTTTCCTTCTCCCTCCAGTAAATATAATTTTGGTTGTAACCTTGTAACATTTATGTGGATAAAATACGGAAAAAGTAAGGCTTGCTACAGCTTTTTCAATTTAGACAGAAATTAATTCATTTTTATCTACTTTAAAATTACTACATGATTTTAATACATTTTTGCATTCTTTAACTTTGCAAGAATTAATGTTATTTTGTTTAAATAATTTTAATTTTATATTAACCTCTCATTTTAAATATTTTGATTATTCAGGTTCATTACATTATTAAATATTTGTAGGAAGAAAAATAATCAAACTTTGAAATTACAGATTGAATCTACGGACTGTCAAGGATTACTCAGACCTTCCAATGTTTTGAAAAATTTTTGTAGCAAACATAATTTTGCTTGTATATATATATTACATTTATGAGGATAAAATATGGATATCTTTCCTGAAGTGTTTATAAATTATACACTGTTCAATTATTAATGTTAACAACAAAGTATTTTAAATTACAAAATTATACTTGGATTAAACAAAAATTACTTACAAAATAATACATATTAATACATTCTTTCTTGCCGTCAATTTTGACGACACGGGTTCAATAAACTACTACTACTACTAATAATAATAATAATAATAATAAAAATACAAGGGCAAGAAAAAGATATTCTGAAATGATTTTCATCAGGCACAAGGCTATAATGTATAAGCAAGCGTGAAAACACGAATTACACAATGTAACAACATTTTCACTTTTTCTTTTACCTTTTTAAGTGTTAGTTCCCAATTGCCTTTGCGTAGAAAGCAAAGGAAATGACTATTATTGCTGATTCATCTGCCCAACCTACGAAAACATGGAAGTCCAGGCGAGAAAAGCAAAGTTTGAACTTGGGCGTCGATGTTTTGATTGGTTGCGTAGTAGATTTTGTTTAGCGGCATATCAACATCTCTGTGGGTTATTTAATGCCGAAATCTAAATATTTGAACAATTTTATGGCTTCAACTAAATATATTTTGAACACAATTGTATGCCTTCAACTACAGATAAAATGTATTGTTGACCATTTTGTTTAGCGGCATATCAACATCTCTATGGGTTGTTTAATGCCGAAATCTAAATATTTGGAACACAATTTTATGGCTCCAACTAAATATATTTTGAACGCAATTGTATGCCTTTAAATACAGATAAAATGTATTGTTGGTCATTTTATTTAACGGCATATCAACATCTCTATGGGTTATTTAATGCCGAAATCTAAATATTTTGTATGTAATTTTATGTTTTCATCTTCAGATAATTTGTACATAATTTTAAATTTTCAGAATGAAGTTATTTTCTTTAGATATATTGTTTGTAGATCATAAATAAGTATTGTTGGCAAGTTTACTATAAAAATGTATTTTTATATTATTTTAGTGTTGCATTGATTGTCATTTTGCTATATATATATATATATATATATATATATATATATATATATATGTTTGGAAAATGTTTCACTATTCACCCTTAGCTGGGGCCCTAACAGGTGTTTGCCCTCCGGCTCATGGTAGACCTGAGAATAATAAAAGTTAAGAGGTTGTTCCACGGTCCCAAAAACCTCCAGTCTCCCGTTCAGAGACATTGCTGCCAGATGTAGTTTATCGTCATTCCTAGGACGATCGATGTTTTTGAACTTAACCTATTTGCCATTACATTCCACACAGATGCAGCACTAAGTTATTGAAGGATATTTTTCTAGAACTTTCGAGAAGTTTCTAAAAGTGCTCGGGTGTTTCGGAAAGTGCTCGGGCGAAGTATATTGCCTGGTTTCACCTGTTCACACCTTCACGGCGAGAACACGCCATGCCACTTCCAAAGTAGCAAATCATCCACATTACCTCCGTATTCCATCGTTGAGAAGTAACATCCATTCGAGCAGCTTCTTACCGCGAACCTCGGCTTTGTGGAACCAACTCCAAACTGGATGTTTCTCCGATCTCTATAATCTTAACCTATTGAAGGCGAGGGCTAATCGTTATCTTTCTCTCCTATACACACAAATGGCCTCCAAACATACCACTCTACTTCGAGTGGCTCTCTGGCCTTGTAAAAGAGAACCTTACTGTAAAAAAAAAAAGAAATTTGTAATATTCGGACTGTTATCCTCATCTTTGTTGACATATTCACCACGTTTCGGTCGCTGTACGCCTCGGCCTTCATCAGTGATTGGAATTTCGAACTGGACCCTTTATTTCGTCCACCGCGATAGATTGGTTCTAGTTCCACGTGCCATGCCTCTTGCGGGTGTCTCAATGTCAGTTATTTCCCTTTTAACTCGTTTAACTCTACAGGTTTTTGTTCACCTCTGCTGATATTGAACTCACAACTCTTTGGGTCAAGTCACTTCAACTTACTTCACCTAATTTTTTTTTTTTTTTTACCAGAGCTCATATTACAATTTGTTGTTACTATTTTTTTTTCTTCCATACTGTGTTCATGTCTATGCTTGGTCGGCTCAGGAGATTTTTCTGGCTTAGCATATGCGCTGAGTCCTTAATTTTTCATATTTTCCAGTCGTATTTTTTGCTGTCTAATATTTCACAGGGGTCGATGATCTCAATTTTCTCTCCATATCTGGTCAACCACGCCTTTTTTTCCTATTTCCCCGCTTGTTACGGTTTTAAGAAGTTCCTGCAGTCTTAAGGGAGCGGCCTGTTTCTTCTGCATGTAAACAGTTGCTACCCAAGGATAAAAATCGTGTTATCGATGCTAAATTGCATTAAACTTCTAGGTTTTAGTTCGTACACGCCTAATGTACACTTTTTCCTCAAGTAACAAATATCTGACAGAAAGATCTATAATGGTAGAAACAGGATTAGATAGGTTCGTCTGAAATTATATTTAATGTTTTTATTTTATTTTATTTATTTATTTTCTTTAAATAGGCGTAGATATTTCGCCTCTAGCCCGATACTCACGACTGTCAGGTCTTTCAAACAGGATTAGAGGATTATCACCTGTTTCCGGTTTCAAATTGGGTTTTCGATTCCTTCTGAAGTCTTCTCATTCTCTTTCAATCCCAGTAACTCCTTGCGTCTTAGTGGCTTTATCGCCCTGATTTGGGCTGGAGGTAGGGGTAGGGGTGAATTGATGTAAAAAAAAGCAAATTAAAAAGACTTCCATAAAAAACAATCCTTCTTATCTGCATTCGACTAACAGTTCTAGATTTTCCTGATTTCAGTACAGACACATTTTCAACAACTGACCAATGCCTAACACACGATGAAGACATTTTCCACAACTAACCAATGCCTAACACTCGATGAAAACTTTTTCCACAACTAACCAATGCCTAACACAATGCAGCATTGGTAAGACCTCCATGAAAAGGCATTCAGCTAACGTTTCTAGATCTTGCCAATTTCAGCATACGCCCAATGATAAGCATTTCCACAGTTGTCCTGTA